CAAATTAATAAAGATGAAAAGGTAATAAACAGAGCATTGGCTACAGTTTAGCTTACAGTGCGTAGGGTATAATGGGTCTGCAAACCTATCCAGTGTTCATTTCCCCAACCCCTGAATATACAACTGCAAATAACATACTTGGGAGTTGCAGTAACCTTCTTTGGAGTCCGTGGGTTGCGGGGTAGGAGCTATTACAGTGAAGAAGTTCAAGTGGGAACTTCTGAAATTTCACCTTTCTCTTCTAGGAGAGAAACAGAAAACAGTGTAGCATCTTTGGGACTACATGACAATGATTGGTACCACTCTTAAAGATCTAAAAACGCTAGCTGGTTAGCTCAGTTTGTTAGAGGAGCATGGGTTGATAACACCAAGGTTCAGAGTTCGAACACTGTACTGGTCAGCAGATTAAAAAAAAAAAAAAAAAACAAACTAAAGGATGCAGAAGTGACAGTTTGACTCATATATATCTCTGTTTTCCTGTCTTGCTGCTGAATGAACTAGATGAATCCTAGAGAATGGACTGTAGACTACCACAAGATCACACAGTTAGTAGCCCCAATTGCAGTTGTGCTGGACAAGATATCATTGCTGGATCAGCTTAATAAGACCTCAGGCACACTGATTTGGGCAATGCATTCTTTTCTATTCCAATCAGAAAAGGGAACAAAAGCAGCTCACATTCACATGGGACAGACAACAATATTCATTTACAGATTTGCCTTGGGCTATATTAACTCACCCACTCTCAAAATATAGTCCAAAAGATCTGGAATTCCTGGATTCCCCACCGAACATCACACTGATTCATTTCATTGGTGATAGTGATGCTGAAAGTCTTTATCAAAGCACTTGCACTTCAGAGAGAGGAAGATATATCCTAAAAAGATTCAGGAACTTGCTAACTGCAGTAATGATTTTAAGAATCCAGTGGTCAGGGGCTTGCTGAATCACTACCCCTTCCAGTTAAAAAAAAATTTGCTGCATCTTACATTTACTATTTGCAAAAGAAAAAACAAAACAAAAACAAAAACAAAACAACAAAACAAAACAAAACACAATGCCTGCTGGGACTCTTTGGACTTTGGAGCAACTTGTTCCACACCTAAGAATACTGCTCCATTTCATTTACTGGGTGAAACTACATGCTGACAGATTTCAATGTGTTCTGCAACAGAAAAGGGCTTTGCAGCAATCCACGTTGTGATATTAGCAGCCCTGCTACTCATGCCATGTAATCACGCAGACACAATGGTATTGGACTTGACAGTGGTGGAAAAAGATGCAGGCGGAGCTTATGGTAGGCCTCAGTGTGAAAATACTAACATAGTCCCTCTCGGATTTTAAAGCAAGGCCATGCAATCCATAGCAGAGAATTATATTCCCTCTGAGGGGCAGCTCCTGGCATGGGATTGGATCATAAAAAAGAAAAAAATGCTATACTATAGGAAACCAAATAGCCATGTATCCCGAACTCCCAAGTATAATTTAGGTTCTGTTGGATCTACCAAGTCAAAAAATTAGACAGTCACAGCAGCTGTCCATTATACAATGGATACAGTCACTCTAGGATCAAGTCCGAGCAGGATCAGAGGGTATAAGTAAGGTGCGTGAACAGGTAGCACAGACCTCCACATAATCCACTATATTTGAACCAGCACTTTCCTTCAGCTTGCATCTATGGCCATCTGAAGGAAGAAAAAAACCCTGAGCTTGCCTTATTCATTATAGCCAAACTCAGGGGTGGTCTTGAAGGAGTATATTATCTGACCAGGGGATTCACTTAATAGTAAAGGAGGTGTGAGAGTAGGCACATGACCATGAGGTCCTCTGGTCATATTACATACGGCACTATCCAGAAGGATCTGGCCTCATAGAGAGCTTGAATGACCTACTGAAGGTACAATGAAGTGTTAGCTTGGATGCAATATTCTGCAAGATGGAGTGCCATATATTAAGATGCAGTATATGCATTAAATCAGAGATTTCTATACAGTGTGGCATCCTCAGTAAGAAGAACACATATGTTCGAGGGGGTAGAGTCAGGAGTGGCCCTACTTACATCACTTCCAGTGACCCACTGGGAGCCCATGTGCTTCTTGTCACAGCAGCTCTGGGCTCTGTGAAATTATAAGTCCTGATCCCAAAAGAGAAATATATTCTTACCAAGATTCACAGCAGGAGTCCCACGGAAGTACAAGTTATAGCTACTGCCAGGGCACTTTGGACTCTTTGTACCTAGAGACCAGCCTGTTGATAGAGTCACCATCTTGACAAGAGTAATCTAATCTGATCATCAGGAAGGAGTAGAGCTGCTTTTCACAATGTGGGAAGGAAGGAATATCGGTGCAAGCCACCTGATCCACTGGGACATATCTTGGTACTTTCCTGCTCAATTTTAACTTTGAATGGAGCCTGAGAAGGGTATGATTACTAGGGTCTCAGACCCTTCAGGAATGAAGTTTGAGATCATACCACCAGATAAGACACTAAGACCTGTAGAAGTGGTAGCTGAGGATGATGGGAATTTAGAATGAATGGTGTAGGATGAGGCAGACTAATTGTGCGTTAAGATCAACAGGAGTGATAAGGGCTATAGTTTTTTTCACTATTAAAAAAAAATAGTTTCTTAAGTTTCCCTCAGGAGGAGAAGCCCATGGGAACTTTGCAGGAATAAATATGGAGAAGTAGATTTGCGCTACGACTGCTCAGATCTCACTGCAAGAGACATCTTCTGTGAGGAATAGAGTCAGCTGACAGCCTCTAGCTGCTGCTCCCTCAAGATACACCAGTGTTCAAGCTGGAGCCAAGCTCTCACCAAACTGCTCCCAGCCAGTGATTGAGCACTGTGGGAGTAATAAGGCTGGGACAGTCCTGCCAAACACAGACACCTCCAAAGAGTAGTCTTTACTCTGGGCTGCCCATTGGCCAGGATGAGAATTTCTCTTAGCTGTAGTGCAGCTGAGGCTCTTCCTACCCAGCACTTGTTTCCTTTCTTCATTCACAGGTGTCCCACCTGCATGGCAGTCTAAAGGTTCTTGCTACCTACTCCTACTCCCTCTCTCCTTTACCATTCACAAATTCTTCTCTGAATAAGTCTTTTATATTTGTAATTATGTCTTGGCTTTTGCTTCCTGAAGGATCCCTGGTGTTCCAGAGAAGAATGCAGGGCAGCATTCATGGTGGGAGGTGAATGGCATAACTGATATTTACCAACTGTTTTGGAAATATTTTAGTATTTGACCAGCTATTACAGCTCATTCAGTGTATACTGGCTGAATATCAGTATTAGGTCCAAACTTGTCTCTTTTCCTCACCTACTTATTTCTCCAAACACCACTTCTCCTTTATAGGTAATCACTTTTATTATCTTATTTTGTATTCTCCCAGAGTTTCTTTATGCAAATACAGGAAAATGCAGACATATATTATTTCCTCCTTTTCTTTTAAAAACATTATAGCATGTACTCTCTTCTGCACCTTGATTTTTTCCACTTAAATTTATATTGGAGATCTTTCTATGTCACTACGTAGAAGGTTTCTTTATTCTCTTTCACTTTCATATGAAATTCCATTGTGTGGCAGTACTGTCATATATTCATATATTCAATCAATCACTTATTGATGGATAACTGGAAAGTTTCTAAACTTTTCCTATTTACAATGTTGCAATAAAAAAACTTTTATATGTATCATTTAGGCATGTGTCATTTAGATGATCGAGAAAAATTAACAGCTCTTTCTTTAAGAATTGTATCTAAAGTCTAGTCATTTCAGAGAGCAAACTGAAGACAAGATTATAACAAAAAGGCAGAAGGTAGACTGGGTGAAGTGAAGGAGATCTTCATAATTATCTGTAACTGTCTGTCTATCTTTATTTCCTTCCACACTACTACTTTTCTCTCAGGAAAGGATGTGACAAGTATATTCATAGAAATATGTAAAATGATTGATAAACGCATGTTATTCTCTTATGGACATTTGCAGTTTATCAATAAACAAAGAAAGATACTTTATTTCCTTATGAAAAAAGTAAAGGGGAAAGGTAAACAATTAAGTTTAAAACTCTCTGTATATGTGTGTTGGAAGTAAGGGTGTTAAAGAAAAAATTATTCAATGACACTTATTAAAGATGGTGAAGACTTTATTCAAGGGGGGATTATTGTGATAGGTATAGGGACCACTGCAATGGGGTCTTACAGTGGGGTAGAGAGATTAGCCTCAACTCTGAATACAGCATGAACAAGTGGAAAATTATTACCAAGGAATAGGTAGGGGATCAGTGGATGGAACATTACTGTACTAAGAGGTAACATCAGGAGTAAGGGTGGAATTCTGGCTAAACTGACCTAACGGGATTCCAGGATGATCAAACATCACATGGGGGATGGTAGAGGATGAGGAAACTTATTACATATTGAGAGTGATCAGATATCGAGGGTGGGGGGTTCTTGCTAAATTGACTTAACAGGGTTCTTGCTAAAAGTACATTTTACAAGAGAGATCCCAGATAGGTCTAAGAAAAGGTTCAGGAGCTTGACTGAAGTTTGGTCAAGAAGATAATCTTTGTCCAGCGTTACTATCTACATATTGTTCTGTATTTCTTTTAAGGGTGTGGAAGATCTGACTCCTTCCTTCCATTCTGTTCACGTTTTTTGAGTGCTAAGATAAAAATAAGTTTAATGAAACATGATAAAGACATTCAAAGGAAGCTTGCTAAATTTTGACCCAAACTCAGAAACAATTTCCAGAGTGAAGAAGATTCAGAACATGGGGTAAAATGCTACATTATTTTGGTTTGAGTAGTTCAGGCATTTAATAAATAAAGAACACACCTCTATAAATCACTTCTATAAATTATAAGCAAAAACCCCCAGCTCCTGGTATTCATGGAAGACTTGTTTTTATTATCACAGTCCCACAGAAGTAGAGGTGCTCATTTGAGAGCAGCTAGTGTTTACTGTGGTAAGGCCATTCTGTGAAACCGAGGGCTCAGTTGTTCTTCAGAGGAGCTTATGAATCCACTTTGCTTCAGGCTGAGGAATAAAGTAGAAAAGTGAAAACAGAAAGTAAAACTTTGTCTGTTAATTACAGAAAATCCCTGGTGTGTTACTGACCATACCAAAGCAGAAAATAGATGGAAGAAAACTCAGATATCATTTTATTATATCTTGTTAAAAACTCAGGTTCCTGAACTCCACCCCAGATTAAGGACTAGTTTTTGTTTGTTTTAACCCCTGTTGAAAACTATTACATGGAGGAGATAATTTTCACCAATATTTAAAACTAAGAATCAATTTTAAAAAATTACAGCTGTATTTGACTATATGAAAAATTTTTAAAAATTAGCCTTATGCCTTGGACCTGGAGGGAAGTGCCAGCAGCTGTGGCAGACCCTGCTGAGGTGAGCCAAGACCTGTGTGGTGCTGGGGGCTCACTCTATGGCCACAGATTCTGGAATAAGCCCCAAGAAAGTGTAATCCAGCCACTACCACACCTACTGTTATGAAAGGAAAATTCACCACCACAGTAGCAGTCGGCCACTCTACAGGTAACCTACTGCTCGTTCGACTACACTGATATAAGAAGAGTCACCAGAAAAGCCTGCAAACAGAGGAAGAAATATTTATTCTCACAGCCAAACTCAGAGTAATAGAATGCACAAACCCTCTGCCAAATGACCAAACTTCAATGAAAAAATAATAGAACTACAGATAAACAAGAAGATATGACACCCCCAAAGGAATATAGTAATGCTCAAATTTCAGACCCCATGGAACAGGGAACCCTTGAAATGTCTGAAAAAGAATTCCGAGCAATAATGTTAAGAAAATATGAAGAGATAAAAGAAGACTCAATTGAGAACACAATGAAACAAGAAAAAATATCCAGAATATAAAGGAGGAAATTTACAAAGAGATTAATACATTGGAGAGAAGTGTAGCAGAACTCCTAGAAATGAAAGATCCACTCAATGAAATAAAAAACACAATAGAAAGCTTGAGCAGCAGGCTAGAGCAAGCAGAAGAAAGAATATCAGATTTCAAAGATGGTCTTTTTGAAATAACCCAGGCAGACAAAAGAAAAAAGAATTAAAAATGATTAGGAAAATCGAAGAGAGATAGCAGACAACCTCAAGCACTGTAACATCTGAATTGTGTGTATTCCAGAAGGTGAGGAGAAAGGAAAAGATATTGAAAATGAATGCAAGGGAATAGTAACAGAAAAGTTTTCAGATGTAAGGAGAGATACAGACCTTCAGATCCAGGAAGCTCAAAGGTCCCCAAACAGATTCAATCCAAAAAGATACTCCATAAGACACATTATAGTTAACTTTGCAAAGCTCAGAGACAAAGAGAGAATTCTAAAAGAAGCAAGATAAAAGCATTAATTCACCCCATCAGACTAACAGCAGACATCTCAACCAAAACCCTATAGGCCAGAAGAAAGTGGAAAGATATATTCAAAATACTAAAAGAAAAAAAATTGCCAGACAATAATTCTTTACCCAGCAAGGCTCTCCTTCAGAAATGAGGGAGAAATAGTGCATTTCCCAGACAAACAAAAGTTGTGAGAGTTCACCATCACGTGACCAGTCCTGCAAGAAATGCTAAAGGGAGTCATTCATCTGGAATCTGAATAATGATGTCCACTATCACAAATACACAAGAAAAAAGCAAAACCCACCATTAAAACAAAAATACCAGTGAGAAAGACAAAGAAGGTAAATCATGCCAACTGAAATTTCCAACTAACATTGAAGAAGATAAATAAAAGGGGAAGTAATGATCAAAAGATACTTAAATTATCTAAAAAAAAAGCAATTCCTGTGAATAACTACCCTAAATGTGAATGGATTAAAATTCCCATTCAAAAGACACAGAATGACTGATTGGATTAAAAAGCTAGACCCAAGTATATGCAGTCTTCAAGAGACCCACGTTAACAACAGAGACACACAGATTAAAAGTGAAAGGATGAAAAAAGATATACCATGCAAAGGGAAACCAAAAATGAGCAGGAGTAGCTATTGTTATATGGGACAAAATAGACTTTAAACAGAAAAACATAAAAAGAGACAAAGAAAGCCAGTATATAATGATAAAAGAACCTATTCAGCTAGAAGACATAACAATCATAAATATATATGCACCCAATTCTGGAGCACCCAGCTATATAAAGGAAATACTCTTCGACCTAAAGAAAGAAATAGGTCCTAATACATTAATAGTGGGTGATCTGGACAATATTCTCTCAGTATAGGACAGATCTACCAGGAAACAAATAAAAAAAGAGACACAGAATTTAATCTACACCTTAGACCAACTAGACCTTGCAGATACACACAGAACATTTCACCCAACAACTACAGAATATACTCTCTTCTCATCAGCTCATAGAACATTCTCCAGGATAGATCATATGTTAGGTCACAAATCTAGTCTCAGCAAAATAAAAAAAAAAATACTTGAAATCATTCGAAGTATCTTTTCAGACCAAAAAGGACTAAAATTGTAAATTAGTAATAAGCAAAACTCTGGAAACTATACAAAGACATGGAAATAAAACAATAGGCTTCTGAATGACCTATGGTTCCAGAAGAAATAAAACAGAAAATCAAAAAAATTCTTCAAACTACTGAAAATAAAGATATCATAACCTGTGGGATACTTCAAACGCAGTACTAAGAGGCAAATTTATTGCAATAAAAGCTTACATCAAAAGAATGGAAAGGCTTCAAATAAATGACCTAACACTACACCTCAAAGAATTTGAAAAACAACAATCCAAACCAAAGGTAGTAGATGGAGAAAAATAATTAAGATCAGAGCAAAACTAAACCAAATTGAGACCCTCAAATCAATAGAAAAGGTCAATGAAACAAAAAGTTGTTTTTTCAAGAAGATAAGTAAAATAGACAAATCATTAGCTAGGTTAACAAAGAAAAGATGAGAGAAGACTCAAATAATGAAAATCAGAAATGAAAGGGGAGACATTACAACTGATATCATAGGAATACAAAGAATCACTACAGACTATTATAAACAAATGTATCATAGCAAATATGAAAATATGGAAGATATCATAAGTTTCTAGACACTTAAAAACTATCCAGACTGAAACAAGAAGAGATAGAAAACCTGAACAGACCAATAGCAAGCAATGAGATTGAAGCAGTAATCAGCAATCTTCCAAGAAAGAAAAGTCCAGGTCCAGATGGCTTCACAGCTGAATTCTATCAAACCTTTAAAGAGGAGTTAATACCAATCCCCTCTCACTACTCCAAAAAATTGAAACAGAAACTACTCCCCCAAACTCATTCTATGAGGCCAAAATAACTCTGATACCAAAACCAGATACAGACACAACAAAAAAAAGAAATTACAGGCTAATATCTTTGATGGACATAGATGCAAAAATGCACAAAAATATTAGCAATCAGATTACAGCAACACATTAAAAAATACATACCGTGATCAAATGGGATTCATCCCAGGGATGCAAAGATGGTTCAACACATGAAAGTCAGTAAATGTGATGCATTACACCAATGAACTCAAGAACAAAGACCATATGATTATTTCAAGAGATGCTGAAAAACCATTTGACAAAATTCAACATCCCTTCATGATAAAGACCCTCAACAAATTAGGTATAGAAGGAAAATATCTCAACAAAATGAAAGAGATCTATGACAAGACTACCACCAGTATCATTCTGAATGGGGAAAAACTGAGGGATTTTCCCTTAAGAACATAAACAAGACAAGGATGCCCACTCTCACCAATTCTATTTAACATAGTACTGGAGGTACTAGCCAGAGAAAACAGGCAAGAGTAAGAAAGAGAATCCAGATTGGAAAAGACAAGTCAAACTGTCTCTATTTGCAGATGACATGATACTATTTATAGAAAAACCTAAAGACCCTACTGAAAAACTCCTAGAGCTGGTTAATAACTGCAGCAATGTTGCAGAATACAAAATAAATGCCCTCAAATCAGTTGCATTTATATACTCAAATAATAAACTAGCAGAAAGAGAAATAAAGAAAGTAAGCTCATTTACAATTGTCACAAAAAAATAAAATACCTAGGGATCGATTTATATAAGGAGGTGAAAGATCTGTGCAATGAGAACTACAAACCACTACTGAAAGAAATTAAACATGAGAAGAAAAGATGGGAAGACATTCTAAGCTCTTGGATTGGAAGAATTAACATTGTGAAAATGTCTATACTACCCAAAGCAATCTACACATTCAGTGTAGTCCCCATCAAAATACTAATGGCATTTGTCACAGAAATGGAAAAAAAAAAACAATCTTAACTTTCATATGGATCAACAAAAGATGCTGAATAGCCAAAGCAATCCTGCGGAAAAAAAATAAATAAATAAATAAATAAATAAAGCCAGAGGCATAACACTTCCTGACTCCAAATTATACTACAAATGTATTGCAACCAAAACAGCATGGTATTGGCATAAAAGTAGATACTCAGACCAGTGGAGCTGAATTGAAAACCCAGAAGTCACCACTCAGGCTTACAGCCATCTAATATTGGACAAAGGCAACAAAAATCTACATTGGGGAAAAGACTACCTCTTCAATAAGTGGTGCTGGGAAAGTTGGATATCTGTATGCAGAAGAATGAAGCTAGGTATGTGCCTCTCACCATATATTAAAATCAACTCAAAATGGATTAAATATTTAAGAATAAGACCTGAAAGTTTACAATATAGGCAAAACACTTCAATAAATAGGTCTGGGAACAGACTTTATGAACATGAGCCTGAAAGTACAAGGAGTAAAAGAAAAAATAAATGGGACTATATGAAATTGAAAACCTACTGCACAGCAAAGGAAACAATCAGAGAGTGAAACGACAGCCTACAGAGTGGGAGAAAATTTTTGCTAACTCTGCATCCGACAAGGGATTAATATCCATAATGTACAAGGAACTCAAGCAATTACACAGTAAAAAAAAAAAAAAAAAAAAAAAAGTAATTCAATTAAAAAACGGGCAAAGAGCTGTGCTGACACTTTAAAGGAAGACATACAAATGGCCAACAGTTTCATGAAAAAAATGCTCAACATCACTAGTCATCAGGGAAATAAAAATTAAAACTACATTGAGATACCACCTCACCCCAGTTGACTTGCTATACTCAAAAAGACGGTGAAAAACAAATGCTGGCGAGGGTGTGGAGAGAAGGGAATGCTCCTGCACTGTTTGTGGGACTTTGGAGAACAGTATGGAGAACAGTATGGAGGTTTCTCAAACTACAGATAGATCTTCCATATGATCCAGCAATCCCACTTCTGGGTATATATATGCCCAGAAGAATGGAAATCATCATGTTCAAGGGATACCTACACTCCCATGTTCATCGCAGCTCTGTTTACAATAGCCAAGTTATGGAATCAACATAAATGTCCATTGATGGACAATTGGATGAGGAAAATGTGGTATACATACACCATGGAATGCTACTCTTCCATAAAAAAAGAATGAAATTCTCCTATTTGCAACAGCGTGGATGAGCTTGGAGAAACTTATGTTGAGTGAAATAAGCAAAGCACAGGGGAATGGGGAGGGTGGTAAGGGATAATTGGGTGTGGGACACGGGGTATAATCACAATTAGTGGTAATGAGCATGCTGCCAGTATGGATCTGGCCTCCACATCTTGGGCATGAGGGGTGAAAATCAGCTTTGTATCTCATCCACACTGGCAGCAAGCCCCTTACCACAAATTGAGATTGTACCCCATGTCCCCCCACTCAATTATCCGCAACCTCCCTCTCCCTCCCCCATCGCCCCCACTACACTTTGTATTCCAAGGTATGTTCTCTCCGTCTGCAAGTCCAACACACCACTGTGTCCTTCTTTCCTTCTTTCTTTTTCTCTTAGCTCCCACTTATGACTGAGTACATGTGTTATTTGTCCCTCTATGCTTTGCTTAAAACAGACAATGTTCACTACCTCCATGGGACCTGAATTGTAATGGTGAACTAATTAATAAACAAATAAATAAATGTAGAATTTTCCATAAAGATAAACTCAATGAAGAGAAATAAAGTAGGATGCAGATTTCAGAGAGCTACTGGACAGTGGCAGGGGAAGGGGTAACATAGGAAGGCTTTTCTAAAGAGAACATTTAAGCTGAAAAACTAAATGACGAGAAGCATTAGCTATGTAAAGATCTGGGGGAGGAGCATTTCAATCAGAGGGAACAGCATAAGCAAAGACTTAGCAAAAAACAATCTCGGTGTGTATGAGAAACAAAAGAACACCAGTGTGGCTAGATCATAAAAGAGAAAGGAAGGAGTGGTACAAGATGATGGTGGAAAATAGAGGAAAAATAAATGAAAGCACTGAAATCTTGGATAAGAATTTTTACTTTTATTCTGAATGTAATAGGAAACCACTAGAATGTTTTAAGCAGTGTAGAGTAGAGATGGCATAACTAGTTAGGAACTCTTGCAGCATTCCAGGAGAAATATGATGACGACGATTGGGGCCAACAAGGTGGTAGAGATGGAGATGAAGAGAAGTGGATGATTCAGGGTATATTCAGGTAGGGTAGACAAGTTTTACTGATTGATTACATATGGGCAGTGAGGAAAAGAAAGGAATCATAGATTATATCCATGTTTAAAATATCAACTGGCTGGAGAGTAGCATCATTTGATAAGATGGATAAGGGTGTAGGAGGTATAGATTTTGTGGTGGGTTAAGAGCATTGTTGAGCATGTTACATTTGAGATGCCCAGTAGATACTACAATGAAGATTTCAAGTTGGTGGTTGGATAGAAGAATCTGGAGCTCAATGGGAAGGTCAGAGCTTGAGATACTAATTTTGGAGTCATCAATACATAGATGGCATTTAAACTGTTGGACTGGATTAACTCACCAAGGGAGGATTGTAGATAGAGAAAGTCCAGGGCTAAGCCTTGGGTCATTCCAACATTTAATTATGAGGCAGAGGAGGCTCAAAGTGGTTAAAAGTGGTTAAAAGCTACCAGTAAGTAGAAATAAAAATGGGAGAGCACAGAGTCAGAGAAGTGAAGTAAATCAAGTATTTACAGGAGAGTGAGGTTAATTTAAATGCTGTTGGACTGTAGTGTATGATGTGGACAGAGGAGAGACCAGTGGATGTGGCCACAAGAACGTATTGTGCAACTTTTAAAAGCTCAGTTTCAGCGGAGTGGTAGGGATCTAGAAGCTTAACTGGATGGTGGCTATGCAAAGGAATTTTATTTAGGAGACTTGGCATGAATGTGTAAAAGCCCAGAAAATACCATGAAAGTTGCTTTTTACAATTAAAATCAATTCTTGGCCTCAACTATATTTTCTTGTATTTTACTTATTTTTCATAAAAACTGCTTGTGGAAATGAACACAGCTATTTGAGGATCTTTTTTCTCATTTACCTTAAAAATCATTCTTAAGTATATTTTCCTTCCATATAACTTTCGTCACCTTAGTGGCTACCCACCCATTGACTAAACCCTTAAGGTGGAAAAATAAGATATCACCTAGAACAAAAGGGACATTAATCAGCTTTGAGTCTCAAAGCTGATTCTAAGTATGCTGTGAGGAAAAATGGACTTGAAACCCAGGCTTTCTGAGAGAGATAAAAGGTATTTCTAACTTCCAAAAATTATTAAAACTTCAAAAGCAAATGGAGGTCTGTACATAAAGCTTTATTATAATTCAAGAATAAAAAAAAAAAACTTGGAATATAAGGTAAAGGAGATCGTCACCAGACTAGAAGAGGAAATAGAATCCCCTTGAGGTAGAAGGGACAAGGAGGAGAAGGAAAAGTAAGAGAGGGATATTAATGAAAATTAGAAAATTTTGAAATCACAAGCCAGTTCTCTATGCTCTACTCTAAATCGTTCTCATTTTCTTAGCTTTTTAACATTTGTTTTGAAAACCTTTTGAGTTATTTTGTAGCACTCTGCATCTTTCTTACCTTTGAGTACCAAACTTGTCAGTACTCGAGTAAAAGGACTGTTTCATAGAGAAAATATAAATTCAAACCTTTAAAATATCTCCCATAAAATAAAATACCTTCCAGTTTTTAACACATTTTGACTTAAAAATAAAACATGAGTAAACATACCAAAGGAGCATATCTTGGTTTTGGAGGTGGAGGAGGCATCCTGCACTGACAGAGACGTTTGACCTTAGGTGATGGTAGTAAAGGCTCGCAAGGAGGGAGTGGTGGTCTTTCTCTTGATGGGGGAACTCTACCTGTACTTAGTTTTCTTCCTTCTTCTGTAAATGTAGTCTTTTTGGATGACATTTTGAAGTCTCTTAGTTCCATTCCTTCCTTCTTTAAATCTGTAGATTTACTATCTGATTCAACTCCCTTTTTAGCTCCAGGTTTCTGTAGTGACTCTACAGATTCAGCATCTGAATCTTCGGCCTTTGTGGACTTTTTTGGGCCTGTTGCGAAAGATGCGTCGGATTCAGTATCGGTAGTCTCTGTGTCCTTCTTGGCATCTTTCTTTGAGCCTTTCTTTTCCTTCTTTGAATCTTTCTGACCTTTCTTTAACTCCAAATCAGATTCAGTTTCAGAAGAATCTACATTCTTCTTTGCATCCTTCTGTTTGTCAACTTTCTTTGAACCTTTCTTTTCAACTTTTTTACCCCTTTTTGCATCCCCTTCAGATTCAGAATCAGCATCAGTAGACACTGCATCCTTCTTGACAGCCTTCTTTTTGTCATCTTTCTTTGAATCTTTTTTATCCTTTTTTTCATCTTTCTTACCCTTCTTTGACTCTAATTCAGATTCAGAATCAGTAGGGACTGCATCCTTTTTCTTGTCATCTTTCTTTGAAGGTTTCTTATCCTTCTTTGTGTCTTTCTTTGCATCTTTTGAGTCTTCAGATTCAGTATCAGTAGACCCTGCGTCCTTCTTTGCATCTTTTTTATTGTCATCTTTCTTTGAAGGCTTCTTATCCTTCTTTGCCTCTTTCTTTGCATCTTTTGCGTCTGCAGATTCAACATCAGAGCTCTTTGCATCTTTCTTTTTGTCATTCTTTGCAACCTTCTTTGAATTATTCTTTGAGTAATTCTTTAGCCATGTATCTGTGGATTCAGCATCAGACTCCTCTAAATACATCATTAAATCCACATTTGAGCTATTTTTGGAGCAAGTCTCTGATTTGGCATTAGAATTATTCTTTGAGTTCTTCATAGACTCTTTCTTGGGATCACGCTTTGTACATGTGAGTCCAAAATCTGTCTCCTTGGAATTCTTTGAGTCTTCCCTATCGTTTTGTGAATCATTTTTTGAGACTACCTTAGAACCTTTGAATTCTGGATTTGTTTCTGATTTGGACTTTAACTCTTCAGATAGTTCACTTTCATGGAATAATTTTGATGGACTTTTATCTGCTTTATTTATTCTTTTAGGTTTCTCATCTATTACTGTTTTCTTGGATTCTAGATTTGTTGCATGTGGGCCTGATTTTTGTAGCTCCAGTTTCTTGGAATCTTCCATTAAAGCTGCTCCTTTTCTGTCATCTTTGGACATTTTAGATTCTGCTTTTTTAGGATGGATCTTGGGAGTATAAGATTGTCTGAATTGAGCCTGTCTTGTAACAGCTAAGTAAATAGATGGCCTTTGGAAAATTTTTCTTAAAGAATGCCTTATCCATACATAAGCTGGCTTCCAAACTTCCTCTAATTTTCTTTTTTCAAGCACCTGAAAAGATTGGTTAGAATAATAATAAGCATTTGTAAATGAGTTATATTTTTCATATTGCAACATTAAAATATTTTATCTTTTTATTAAACATTAACTTAACATTAGAATATAATTTTTCAAGGTTTACTTGTGTGTGTGTGTATGTGCATGTATGTGTGTGTGTGTGTGTTTGTGTGTGCGTGTGTGTGTGTGTGTGTGTGTGTGTGTAACTCCAGTTTGGAAATAAGATGACTTGAGGGGAAACTTTAGAATTCCCTTAATGATTCATATAAAGATTGAATCAGGCCCACAATGATTCATGACATTTCAGCGCTTGTCCTCACAATCAGCAGTAGATTTCTTTTGGACCCCTATGTGGGAGATATCTTTTGGAACAGTTTCTATACCCTTCATCCCCAAACTAGCTCAGAAATAAGCTGATCCACTTGAAGTTTGTCAGGACAATTCTCGTGATAGCTGTAGGCTTCAGGCCTAGCCTGATTTTTACTCCTGCTTTCAAGGTCTCTGGTCAAACTCAGAGCCTGAAACCCCTACTGTGAAATACTGCCAGAAACAGAGAGATAAAATGAAACAGACAAATGTTTGATCCACATTAATTTGTATAGCAGTAGTATAATTTATTTTCAATGTTCACCCAAACATTTGTCAAATCTGGTTGTCGTAAATGGCTACAAAGACTGATTTTCAATTTACTTATACTGTTTTAACTATCTGGTAGAGCCACCAACAATCAAATGGTCATATGGAATTAAAGAGGGACCATGAAGAGAAGCATGAAACTTGGATCACTACAGATGTAATGAATGGCCCTTGAATAAATGTATTGACTATAACTTTGCTTTGGGAGATGCTGTAAAATATTTTAATATTACAACAGGTGATCGATGCATGCTGGTTTATCTTTTTGCTAACTGATAGGGTAAGTTCACTTGATAGAAGTGGTAGAAAAGTTAAATCTCTCAACATCAAGTATCTTGAATTTCAGATTCCTAAAACCTCATTGATATCAGCTCCTGCTCCAAGATTCAAATTTTAGATGCTTTCTCATCTGGTAAACATTTCCTGACATATTCCTCCAGTTGCAGCATTAGGCTCTCCAGCTTGCCTACCCTACTAGTTAGGTAATGCCTTTGATGTGAAGAACCATGTACAAATAAAGCTTAATCTGAACCATGTGGGGGTAGTCTATTGTACAGAGGATTATAAGTTTTAAAAGTCTGCTTCCAGCAGGTAGTAAAATTTAAATTACATATGCCTTATTTATATTTATATATGTTGAGCCAACTTAGATTTAGTTTAAAAACTGATCTTTTCCATACTTACAGGAGCTGTGATTTGTAATTTTGAAGGTCTTGATCTCTCTTTTCTACCTGGCTGGGGTGGTTTGGGGAATGTCAAAGTGCAGTGTTCTGAAACAAGGGAAGACAATAAACAATTTGGAGTTAATAGTCAGACTTTCATCACACTGAAATAATCTTGAAAAAGACATATATCATTTAAATTAAACTAAGTTATAACTCAAAATATAGCTTCTCCCCTTGGAGTTTTTAGTTTATTTGCATAGCAATTAGGGAAAATAGAAGTCGATTTGCCCATTTAGCATTGAATTATGTTTAGAATTACATTTGCAATTTTATTTTCTAGATTGAGCCAATTTTAACAGACAGCTACTTAAATCATGGTGGTAAAAGAATATGATCAAACTGTGGGAATGGAAAATAGAGACTCACATTTCCTTTCAAACTTTTCCATCACCTCCTCTACCTTGGTTTCTTTTTTTATGTTATTTTGGTTAGATTGCAGACAATATGACTTCTCCTTTCCATAATCTCCATCATAACTAACACAATGCTGAGCATTAAGTAATCAGCAAAAGTTTTGATTGATTAAATCTGAGTGTTTATTTTAGCACCTGTTTAACCTCAATGGCATCCTAAGTCACAGAAATTAGTACTCTGGACCCAATCACTGCATTCAGTCCTGGGAGATCTATTTTAAGAAGGAGATATAAACACTTGAAGGAATCAAAAAAAGACTAAATTCTTACTTGTAATAGAATTATCACACGTTCTGATACTTCTCGTCTACTAAGGAAAAGAAAATGCTTTAATTGAATTTGTACTATAGATAATATTTTTATTACTAATAAGCCTTTAATAGCAACACCTTGAAAACTCTTATGCATTCTCTGATCTCCATTATCTAAGGATGCCTACCATAGACACTCAGACCAGTGGAGCAGAGTTGAGAATGCAGATATCACCCCTCAGGCTTACAGCCATCTGATATTAGACAAAGGCAACAAAAAACTACATTGGGGAAAAGAAAAGACTGCCTCTTCAGTAAGTCGTGCTGGGAAAATTGGATATCCATATGCAGAAGAATGAAACTAGACATTCACCTCTCACCACATACTAAAATAAACTCAAAATGGACTAAAGACTTAAGTATAAGACCTGAAACTGTAAAATTACTAATGGAAAATATAGGAGGTGAGATTATACAAAAAAGATATGTGGAGGAACGTCTTTTCTAATGGCACAAATTCTCATGATATACACTAGAAACCCACAATGTTGGTATGAGAATGATCATGCATACATCACAGAGTCACCAGGAATTCAGAAAAGAGTACTATTGGGAAAAACAACAACAATAACAACAAAAAAAACCAAAACCAACCAAACAAACAAACAAAAAACAAAAAAACCCGATAATAGGCTAGATGGAAAATCATGGCAAAATGAAGGAGAGTGATCTGGGAGTCATGTTATGAATATAACAAAGAAAGGTTTGTTATGTAAAGCAAGCAATATAATATGATGATATGAAATTCAAAGTTAGCTATTTTTGGAAGTAAGGAATAATGGCCTAGAAACAGTATTGAGGAACAATGCAGACAACAACTACACTTCTAGGTCCAGTGATGGTAGGGGATGTGATAAAGAAAGCATCACCCACTCTAGAGGGCTTCAGGAAAAGCAGTGTATTTGAGAGATAGTCAGTTTTCAGACAGAGCAAAATGATAGTGGTATCATTCAGATGTGAGGGAGAAGAGAACATAAAGGGTTTTGCTGAAGACAGTGAGTTTCAAAGAGTTAATGCCCGATGGTGACATAATCATGAGGCCTTTGTGATTTAAGAGAGATCAAATGTAGACAGCATCAAAGTAGAAGTGTCTTTATCAAAGCACTAGTTATCTGAGAATCTCACTTTGGAGAGTTCAAATTTAATTTGTAGATCAAATTATTCTTTTTCTTTCTTTCAATCTGTATTAAATTTGCTTTTTATTAAAGTAATGCATACTCATTGAAAAAAAATCCAAACATTACAGAAATGTATCACATAAAAAGGGAAAATACCTGTAATTTCTTTCTGTCAAAAATTTTCCAGAAATTGAATCTCTGAAGCAAAGATTTCTAATTTTTTTTTGTTATTGAGGTTGTGCACCTTTTCATGTTTATTGGCCATTAATATTATTTTTCTATAAATTGCCCATTCATACACCCCAACTATTTTTATGCCATATTAATTATATTTTCACAAGATTTTATATTAGGTCATAACATAAGAAATTTCCATTTTTTAAAGGTTAAAATGGTTGAATATTGGCAATCTTATATGGTTCAACTTAACACACATGGGTATTAGCTGGTAGCTCCATGTCAACATGACAAATATTATCCTAATTTTTTATAAATTTCAACAATACTTTTTAAGAGGAGATTGGCTTTTAAAAATAAAAATCAACACTGAAAGTGTAGCCACTGCAGACTGCAGAAATACTGCTGTTTAACTCCATATGAATAATAATTTATCTTACACTTAATGACTCCTTTAAAAAATAAACCCAGTATACTTTCTTCTACTGGAAATAATACTAATTCTTCCTTTGTATCAGAATGATAGAATGATCTAATTTTCTTTACACATCAAGTTAAATATATCAAACTAGTATGATAAACTCTTACTACATTGTATCTTGCTTTACATTTTAAAGTGATTTCACTTAAATTGATGCCTTCCATTCTCCCTAAAATATGATGTGGTTTTAAGAAATGAGACTCAGATAAAATGGTCAAGATAATGCAGCTATTTTTTGAAAGAACCGGGACCATCTAAATTTCAAAGTAAAACACCCAAGATATTTATGGGAATCTTATACTTCTCTTTAAAGTACAAATTTTAATTTATAAATAAAAAGACCAGGAAAGAAACATTGTTTACACTTAAATATATAAATATTTAACCAAATTGAGCATGTTAGTCACTAAAAATACTGAAAAGTATTAAAAAGAGGACTTACAACTTTCGAAGAGACAATTCCCCGGCCTATACGTTTCCTGGACTTTAGCACTGCAAGTTCAGACTGATGATGTTGAGTGATGACATCATAAAGACACTGTAAACAACATAAATTAAAAGGGAAATAACAGATTAGTCATATTTGATAGTGCATAGGTGATTCTAAAACCTATTCTAAAAGTATAGGTGTGTTTACACACAACTTTTTAAAGGTTGAACTGGGAGAATCAGTCAACTATTTACTGATTGAATATCTCTGGTTGTTTAATAAATATATAATTATTCAATATTTGCCTATTTTAATACTAGTTTTGACTGTGCATTTGTACACACAGGTGTGTGTGAAAAAGAGATATATAGGTTGAAAGGAAAATAGAAGAATATAAACATTCCTCTAAAATGAGCAGTTATAATTCCTTACATTTCCTTCACATTCAGGCTTTTTTTCCCCCTAAAAACTTTGCATATGTTCACAGTGAGATTTCCCCAAAATAACTTCACATGGCTTATTTTTAGATATGTAAATTAAGCAAAGGTAAAATGACTATGAAAATTATATTGACACATCTGAAAAATGTTCCTTCCCAAACCTAAAAACAACTGTTGTTATGTACAGAGTTGTGAGAGAACAAGTCATCAGTTGCTACTTGGCAGGAAATTTATAAATATAATTTTTTTTATTATAGAAAAAATTCTCTTGGGGCAGGGAGAAATGTGTACAGGGGAAATTATCTTTACATGTATTCTAGATAACAGGGAGCAGCTTTTGGGCTGCAGAAGAAAAAGCAATTCATTACTACTACTACTACTTCTTCTTCTCCTTCTCCTTCTCCTTTTTCTTCTTTCTTCTTTTTTACCACTTTTTAGTTATTAAGTTTTTTTAAATTTTTGTTTTGAAAGTTTATATTTCTGTGCTGACCCCATGGCTCACTTGGGAGAGTGTAGCGCTGGGAGCGCTGAGGCCGCAGGTTTGGATCCTATATAGGGATGGCCGGTGCGCTCACTGGCTAAGTGTGGTGTGGGCGACACCAAGCCGAGGGTTGTGATCCCCTTACTGGTGACCAAAAAAAAAAAAAAAAAGTTTATATCTCTTATGTATTCCTGGCTGTATTTTATTTCAGAAAATTGAAAGAAAATGTGATCGAAGACACCAAGATAATTTTCCCCACAGCAGTGCAATGTAGTATATCTCAGAATCCTTTTATTGGCCACACTAAGTTTACAAACTAGTCAAATAGCATTGCTTACAAAGCCAAATTTCTAAGTCCAAAATGGACCACAATCATACATTTGAAAGGAATATGAATTATGTATAAAAAGCCATGAGAATTTAATTCCACTCTTCTGACCCAATAATTTTACTCATAGGAATACATTCTATGTATATTATTTCAGCACACAGTCTCAGTATAGTTTTAAGTAAAATATTAAAATTTGAAAACACTGTAAATGTCCAAGATTAGGAAAAAATTTCAGCAAATCACTAGACTAAATGTCCATTAAGGCAGAGATTATGTCTGCTTTGCTCATCACTGTATCCCTAGTATTTGCATGAAAAAAAAGAAAACTCATGACCATAAAAGTATACATAAGTTTGATATTTACTATATAAAGCAAATATATTATTCTGAAAAGAGTAGATGATAATACTTCAGAATGTTAATAATAGGATCATGAGAAATTTTATTTGCTTCATATAGCATTTTGCATTAAAAATTTCTATAAATATAGTGACATCAACAAGATGGGAGAATAGAAGGTCCTAGGTTTCATCCCTTACCCCTAGAAAGATCAACTAGCGACTGTCTACAGAAAAAAAACACCTTGGTGAAAACCCCAAAATGTGAGAATAAGCCTGAGTCACTTGCGTGTTCCACAGAAATGAATAGTAATCTGTGTGGAAAGTGTAGAAGAAACAGTGTTACTTTGATTATGTTGCTCCCTCCCCTCCCCCAAGTTAGCACAGTGCCACATGGGCAGGATCCCTCAGGGCCTGTGGTTTCTACAGTGAAAAAAGAAAACCAAGCAGGCAGACATCCAGCTATTCTAGCATTCTGAGATGCTCATTCAAATCTTACTTTATGAGGAATGGGGAACAGAGGGA